TTTTGTAGAGATGAGGTCTCACCAAGTTGCCCAGGCGGGTCTCGAACCCACGGACTCAGGCAATCCGCTCACCTTGGCCTCCCAAAGTGCTGGGATTACAGGCTGAGCCACCAAGCCTGGCCCTTTTTTTTTTTTTTTTAAGTCATTCTTACTCTGTTGTCCAGACTGGAGTGCAATGGCACGATCATGGCCACCACAGCCTCGATGGACTCAGGTGGACTTTCTGCCTCAGTCTTCTAAGTAGTTGGGACTACAGGTGCCTGCCACCATGCCTGGCTACTTATTTATTTTATTGTAGAGACAAGGTCTCGCCAAATGGCCCAGGTTGGTCCTGAACTCCTGGGCTCAGGCCATTCTCTCACCTCTCCCTCCCAAGTGCTGGGATTACAGGGGTGAGCCACCACGGCTGGCCTGTGAACTTTATTTATTTACTTACTTATTATTTATGTATTTATTTTTGAGTTGGAGTCTCAGTCTGTCACCCAGACTGGAGTGCAGTGGCACACTCCCAGCCACTGTAGCCTCGACCTGCTGGGCTCTGGCGATCCTTCCACCTCAGCCTTCCAAGTAGCTAGAACTACAGGCGCATGCTACCAAACCTGGCTGATTTTTGATTTACTGTAGAGATGAGGTCTCGCCAATTTACCCAGGTGGGTCTCGAACCCTGGGGGCTCAGGCAATCCACTCACCTCAGCCTCCCAAGGCGCTGAGATTACAGGCTGAGCCACTGAGCCTGGCTGGCCTGTGAACTTTAAAAAATGTGAATGTGTGTTCACATGTCCAGTCATGTAAGTTAGTTCATGTGTTTGGTGTACATTGACACGTGTGCAACCTCTACCAGTGGTTGTGCTTTTGTGTACTTTATAGTACTGTATAGAGTACAGTAGCACAGTATGTTTCAAGCCTAGGATGTTTGGAAGCAAACATAAAAGCAGCAGTGATGTAGCTGGTACTTTATAGCCGATTGTGTTTGTTGGGTACCTAGGCTAACTTTGTTGAACATACAAACAAATTGGACTTAGGAACACACTCTCAGAATGGAACTCGTTTGTGTGTAGGGACTTACTATATTCTCTAACTTGCTCATTGCAGCCCAGTTTTTTTCTGTGTTCATATTTGTATCTGCTAGACAAATGCTAGGAAACTTCTCCAGTAAGATAGTTTTGTCCCACTGCAGAGCAGCATAGCCATGTGCCTCACCAGCCATGCTTTTCTAGTGATGCTCACCATTTGCACCCGTGCTTCCTGTGTGTGTGTGTGTGTGTATGTATGTGTGTGTGTGTGTGTGTGTGTGTGTGTGTGTGTGTCTTACTCTTTCACCCAGACTGGAGTGTAGTGAGTAACTGAGACTACAGGCATGTGCCACCACACCTGACTAGTTTTTGGATTTATTATAGAGATGATGCCTTGCCAAGTTGCCCTGGTTTGTTTCAAACCCCTGGACTCAGGCAACCCTCTTACCTCGGACTCCCAAAGTACTGGGATTACGGTCGTGAACCACAGTACCCAGCTTCAAGCTTGGAGTTTCTTGACACACCCATGCTCTCTCACCAAACTTTTGCAAATGCTGGATGTCTGTCTCCCACTTATCCCCATGGAATGCTCCAGATTATATAACCTAGATTAGGAGGTCAGGAATAAATAACTTCCTTCTTAAGAAATGAGGAAAAGCTGGGCTCAGTGGCTCAGCCTGTAATCCCGTGCCTTTGGGAGGCTGAGGTGAGTGGATTGCCTGAGTCCGTGGGTTCGAGACCCGCCTGGGCAACTTGGCAAGACCTCATCTCTACAATAAATCAAAATGAGCCGGGCGTGGTAGCGCGCGCCTGTAGTTCCAGCTACTTGGAAGGCTGAGGTGGAGGATCGCCGGAGCCCAGCAGGTCGAGGCTGTGGTGGTCGGGAGTGGTCACTGCACTCCAGTTTGGGTGACAGAATGACTCCAACTCAAAAAAAAAAAAAGAAATGAGGAAAAATGGTGCTTGCTATGCGTTCACTGTGATTTGATTTTTTTGCAATATACTAGACCTGCAAACACTTGAATAAGCTCATCTCAAAAACTATTAACAACTGTGGCAGACGAGAAAGATCATCCAAGGATGGCTTGAGCCCAGGAGTTTAAGAATGCAGTGAGCAGTATAGCACCATTATACTCCAGCTTGGACGACAGAGCAAGACCCTATCTCAAGAAAAAAAAAGGTCATTTAGAGACCACTTCTGTCTAACCCAGAATGGCAGCAGGCTAGCTTCCAGATGCCAAACTGTTCCCAGTCATGGCCAATTCCTTTCAGGTCAACTATACCCATAACACTCCTGAGGATGGACTGATGCTTTCAGGCAAAGGACAATGAAATAAACAAGTGAAAAATGAAAGAACTGAGTTATAGGAACTAGGCAAAGCAAGGAAGCCCGAAGGTATTTACTAGGTATTCCCCATTATTCATATTCTAAACCTTTATGTAAATAGAAAGCACAGGTGTGGCTGGGTGTGGTGGCCCACACCTGTAATCCCAGCACTTTGAAAGGCAGAGGCAAGAGAGGATTGCCTGATCTCAGAAATCTGAGACCAACCTGGGCAACTTGGCAAGACCTTGTCCCTACAATAAATAAAAAAATTAGCCAAGCATTATGGCGTACACCTGTCTTTTCAGCTATTTGGAAGGCTGACGTGGAAGGATTGCCTGAGCCCAGCAGGTCAAGGTTGCAGTGATGAGTGTGCCACTGCATTCTAACTGGGCGATAGAGTGAGACTCCAACTCAAAAAAAAAGTTCCAAGTTTAGTGTTGAAGTTTAGAGGGCCTGGTGGAGCTGGAAGGACAGACTGGAGGCAGGCCAAAAGGGCCCCGAAACCTCCTTATGGAGTCTGGAGTTTAGTCTGTTGGGTTCTAAGTATGGTGTGATGTGATCTGATGTGTATTTTGTTAGAAGTTCTCCAGTTGCGGAGGACGGGTTGTGGTATTTTAGTGAAAGTCCTCCGGTTTCAGGGCTGGAGGGAGGTTGACCAGACAGGAGACAGATCCAGGTAGAAGACAACAGTGACTTGGATTTGGGTGACGGCAGTGAGGATGGAGCATAATGGACGAATTTGAGGGCTGTGATAACTGGATGGCAGGAGAGGAAGTCGTACACGGACTGTTGGATTCTGTTTCCTCCCCGTCTCAGTGTGACTTGGGACTAGTGTCTTCCAGTGTCCCATCTTAGTTCCACTTATGAGAGGAGAGGCGACCTATATTGTCGGCCGCCTCCTGCCTTGAGGGTCATACTAGGGTTCAAGAGCAAATACTTCTGACCTCCTTTGAGAGGCCCAAGACCTGAAGGAAGTTAAATCAGGCCTTCAAAGTTGGCTCCTGGCAAAGGTGACATCTGGCGTTGGCACGGTGATGCACGTATGCCCCAGAGCCTGCTGGTACAACTCAATCTCCACTGTGCCCTTGGCCAGCGTGAGCAAGGATGATAATGCTGGGATGATAATGCGTGCAGCTTCCAGAGAGATTTCTCTGTAATACTTGTGACGCTTGGCCTCGTGTCATGTCTACGTTGAATATGATGGAAACTAGGCCCTTCTTTGCCCTCTTTCTTTGTACCTTTAGAAGAAGGATTTGTGAGCAGAATTCAAACAAATAGTTGTTGTCTTTCCCATCCTGGATATCTGACAAGACCACAGAGGGGAAAGAAGGGAGCTCCGTGAACGTGTTCTGTGTCAGGGAAGGTGAACTACAGCATGGCCTGAGATGAATTAGGGCTAGGAGGATGGAATGGCAAGAATTATCCCCAGCCAAGTAGGATAATGTTTAAAAAAAAATCTAGACATGGTGGCTCACGCCTGTAATCCTAGCAGTTAGGGAAGCAGAGGCGAGAGGATTGCCTGAGCCCAGGAATTCAAGACCAGCCTGGGCAACTTGGCAAAACATCGTCTCTACAATAAATTAAAAAATTGACCAGGTATAGGAGGATGCACCTGTGGTTCCAGCTGCTTGGAAGACTGAGGCAGAAGGATCGCCTGAGCCCAGTGGTTTGAGGCTGCAATGGCTGTGAGTGTGCCACTGTGCTCTAACATGGGTGACAGAGTGAGACTCCTCCTCAAAAAAAAAAAAAGTGTTCCTTGCTTTTCTTTTAAGCATGTGTATCTGTATGTGTCCTGGTGAGGGCTTGAAGTCAAGACGCTTGCCCTCTGGAGGACCATGGAATGCACCTGTGTGGGCTCACCTGTACCTACCCTTCTCGTGTGGTCTGAGCAGCTATTAGAGTCTGATGTCTGCTTTGCAGTGTGTCTGTGGCAGAAAAAGTATAGTTACTCTTGAATGTGTCCAGTCCATACGCAGACAGAAGTCCCGGATCTGAGCCAGGACTGACATCTGAGTGAATGAGCACATGAGGAGACCCGTGTGATGCCATGGAATTGTGGGAGCTCTTGCAGGCCTTTGAAAGAAGGGCTGAATCCCCTTTGGACATGGGCTGACATGGCTGTTGTGCAGGGAGGGAGAATGTCATGTTCTTTCACTGAAGCCATGCCGTGAGCAGCTCTATTCAAATAGAATGTCACACCTCTCAGTTGGACACCGAGGAGGACTGACCGTGTGCCAGGGGTGAGGCCAGGAGGTGACTACAGCTCACCAGGCCAGGCGAACACTCTGCCCCAGGTCCACGGAGCTCGTGAGCTCTCCCTCAGAGCTGACTGTGTTTCCTCCTCTGTCTCTTTCCAGAAGTGCATACTGTGCGGCCTCGGTTGCCTCTCTGACCAACATCATCACTCCAGACCTCTTCGAGGGCACCGCCGAGTGGATAGCAAGGTGAGAGAAGCCAGGGTGTTCTCAGCCTCAGACAGAAGTGGTCACAGCTGTATGTTGGAAAAATAAAGAAAATGAAAAAGCACTGGAAGGGAATACAAAATTATAAGAACTGTATTAGGGTTATCTAATGATTCTGCATTTAAGAAACACTTAAAATTTCTTTTTTCCAAACTTTCTTTTCTTTTTTAGTTGTTATAGAAACGGAGTCTTGCCATGTTATTTAGGCTGGTACCAAACTCCTGGCCTCAAGCGATACTCCCATTTTGGCCTCCCAAAGTGCTGGGATTACAGGCATGAGCTGCCATAGCCGGCCCCAAACTTTCTTTAATGTTATGTTATAGTTGAGACTGGCAAAGATCATAAAGTTTGCTAAACGGTATTGGCGGAGCCTGAATTGATTCAGCCAGGTGGGACAGCAGCCTGGCAATATCTGTCTCAAAGGTGCCTTTGCTTATGACCTAGTAATTCTACTCTTCAGAAACTCTCACACACTTGCAAAGAGACCAGACCAGGACTTGTTGACAAAAAGCTGGAGATGGTCCAGTGTTCATAAGCACAGGAGAGACAGGAAGTTAGTTGTGGTGCAATCACATTGGGATATAATGCAGTTGTCAAAATGAATGAACTGGAGCTATGTGTATCAATATGGTAAAATCTCAAAAACAATGTGGAATTAAAAAAAAAAAAAATAAGCTGGGCTTGGTGGCTCAGCCTGTAATCCCATGCTTTGGGAGGCTGAGGTAAGTAGATTGCCTGAGCCCCGCCTGGGCAACTTGGCGAGACCTCATCTCTAACAGCAAAGATAAAAAAAATTAGCTGGGCATGGTAGCGCACACCTGTAGTTTTAGCTACTTGGAAGGCCGAGGCGGAAGGATCGGCAGAGCCCAGCAGGTCGAGGCTGTGGTGGCCGGGCGCGTGCCACTGCACTCCAGGAGACAGAGTGAGACTCCAACTCAAAAAAAAAAAGAAAGCATACAAAAAACAGACAAATCTCAAAACAAAAACAATACAAATTTCATTTAAAATGTGAAAGCAGCCAGGTGCGATGGCTTGCGCCTGTAATCTAGCTCTTTGGGAGACTGAGGTGAGAGGATTGCCTGAACCCACAGGTTTGAGACCAGCCTGGGCAACTTGGTGAGACCTCATCTCTACAATAAATCAAGAAATTAGCCAGGTGTGGTGGTACACACCTGTAGTTCTGGCTACTTGGAACGCTAAGGTGGAAGGATCACCTGAGCCCAGCAGATCGAGGCTGCAGTAGCCTTGAGCATGCCACTGCTCTCCAGCCTGGATGAAACAGTGAGACTCTGACTCAAAAAAAAAAAGGTGAAAAGATGCAAAATAATTCTATATTGTTTATGTGAAGAATCATATGTAGAAATAATGTAAAAACATGCATAGGAAAGACAAACACCAAGTTCAAGGTGGTGGTCACTTCTGGAAGAGGAAATGAGATCGGGGGAATCTGCACAGGGGATCTCAACTATAAATGTTCGTTTTTTTGTTTAAGGCCTGATGTGTATATGGCTCAACCTAAGCTAGGTATTAGATACGTGTGTGTTCTGTATGTTATTGGCTGTACTTTCCTGGATGCTTCAAGTGTTTCATAATTTAAAAAAAGGAAACCAAGACTGATAGCGATGGCTCATGCATGCCTATAATCCCAGCACTTTGGGAGGCCAAGATGAGAGGATTGCCTGAGCCCACGGGTTCAAGACCAGCCAGGGCAACTTGATAAGACCTCAACTCTACAATAAATCAAAAATTTAGCTGTGTGTCATAGCGTATGCCTGTGGTTCCAGCTACTTGGAAGGCTGAGACGGAAGAATTGCCTGAGCCCAGCAGGTCAAGGCTGCGGTAGCCATGAGCGTGCCACTGCACTCCAACCTGGGTGACAGAGTGAGACTCCAACTCAAAAAATAAAAATAAAATAATGAAAAAGGAAACCAAAACTGTAGTAGATACATTTGTACTATTGTAGTAGGATAGCTGAGATCCTGTTTTATAAATTTTCTATTTTCTATTTTTTTTAGAGATGAGGTCTTACTGTGTTGCCCAGACTGGTTTTGAACTCCTGAACTCAAGTGATCCTCCCTCCTCGACCTCCCAAAGTGCTAGGATTACAGGCATGAGCCTGTTCTATAAATTTTATTTTTATCAAAGTCATACTTCTTACTGTGTAAATATGAGGTACAGTGAGACCAGATAATAGACAACCCTATTTACTTTTTTGTATAACTTCCATTTTCCTGGAGCTAATGTACAGATCATGAATTCATTCCCCAGTTCTCTGCCAGAACTATAAAACACGGCTGCCCTGCAGTCAGGTTCTTGGGGTCATCTGTCTCGGTGTGTGTGCATTTTGCATCTGCCCTCCTGAAGCCTCTCCCCTCCTGCTCAGTCTGGACAGATTGCACTCAGCGTGCTGCACGGCGGGCCTCCAGAAACCTCCAGCATGACATTCACTCCACTTCTCTCCTCTATTGAAGACCCTGGTCCCCTTTTCTTGGCTTTCCTCCCCATTTCCATGAGACACGCACTTCAGACGGTTCCAAAAGCAGGTACCTGGGAGAGACATGTGAAGATCTTGCCTGGGTCTTTGTTCTGACCTCATGCTTGATGGATAGGTTTGGTTAGAGACCCTCAGTGGGAGACGTATGGATTGCATTCTTTCTGAATTTTGCAAGCATGACTCCATGATCGCCTAGCTTCCAATGTTGTCATTAAAAGGCTGATAATAGTCATAGCTAGCATTTACTGAGGACTATATCATGCTTCATAGTAAGACAGCTCCAGTTTGAGTGAGAGGAGGTGCTGCCTGGTTTGGTTCTTTTTATACATTTTGTTTTTCTGAGATTTCCCATCTTTTTTCATTGTAAGTATCTTTTTCTTCATTTCACTGTGGTAAGTTTGTGATTATAATATCTACCTTTCAATCCTTATCTGGTAATTTCTACAACTGGGTAATTTTGGGGTTGGTATGTCGCATTTTTCTGACTCTTTAGGGGGTCTTACTATGTTGCCCAGGCCAGTCTCGAATTCCTGGCCTCAAGCAATCCTCCTGCCTCAGTCTCCCAAAGTACAGGGATTACAGGCATAAGCCATCTTGCCTGGTCTGTGATATTATGTTGTAGGTATAATACAATATCATATTATGGATTCTGTTAGATTACTCTGAAGGGTGTTGATTTCTTGACCCCTGGCCTGCTGCTGCCACATCTGGGCCACTGCACCTATGTTCAGGGCAAACCAGAAAGAAAAAATAGGGGGAGGGGAGGGATGGACTCCCTGCTATGGTGGGCTCCAGGTGTCAAAGCCCACTCAGGTTCGCCCTTCTCCAGCTAGCTGAGCCCCAAGGAAGCCAGTTTTTGCTTTTTGTGTGTGTGTGTTGGAGTCTCACTCTATTGCCCAAGCTGGAGTGCAGTGGCAAGCTCACTGCCACCCCAGCATCGATATGCTGGGCTCTGGCAATCCTTCCGCCTCTACCTTCCAAGTAGCCAGAGCTACGGGCGCATGCTACCACGCCTAGCTAATTTTTAATTTACTGTAGAGTGAGGTCTTGCCCAGTTGCCCAGACTGGTCTTGAACCCACGGGCTCTGGCAATCCACTTGCCTCGGCCTCTCATAGTGCTGGGATTACAGACTGAGACACCGAGCTCGGCCGTTTTTGCATTTTGTTCAGAGTGTGCAGCTGTCACTCAAGGGAGGATTGATTATGGTGCCTGCTGATTATGGACCTTTGACAGCCTGGGTTTGAACCCCAGTTTTTCCATTTCTTATTTGCTTTGTGCCTTGGGCAAGTTATTCAGCTTCTCTATGTTATTTTTCCTTTATGTGTCAGGTGAACATTGAATTTTATATTAAGCTGAACTACAAGGACACCCAGGGGGTCCCATAGTGTCGTCCCACATGGCAGTGCCACCCTGATGCCCAGGCCTCTGTCTTTGTTTTCTTCTCTCTGTCTGCCCCCATCCTATCCCTCTCTGGAGGCTTGTGGAATCCATATTCTTGTTTGGAGGTTTGATGGTGCTAAGCCTCGGTGGGGGTCATGTTTCACTCATTGTGCTGGGTCCCAGCAGCCTCTTCGATTTGGAAGTACTTGTATTTCAGTACCCAGCACCTTTACAGTAGTGTTGCTTTGATAATCTGTCTTCTTCCATGCTGTGTGTTTGTTCTTTTTTTGTTTTAATAACATTCCTTTAGAAGGTTTGAGCTTCTGATTTACAAAAACAAATTTTTTTTTGCCTGTTTTTCATCTCTTAGTCCTTCTTGTGTTTTCTGAGAGATTCTCTTACCAATTATCTTCTACTCCTTCTGTTGAGTTTTTATTTCAGTAATCCTATTTTTAATTTTCCAGAGCTCAGCTTTATTCCCTGACTGCTTTTTTTAAAAATACACTCTCTTGTTCTTGTTTCAGGGATATTTTATCCTTGCAGTAGTCTTACTTCATGTTATATTTTATCTAAAGATTTAACTCTATTTTCATTATTCTTACTTTTTTGAGTCAGGGTCTCAACTGACGTCCAGGCTGGAGTGCAGTGGCATGGTCACAGCTCACCACAGCCTCGACTTCCTGGGCTCAGGCAGTCCTTCTGCCTCAGCCTTCCAAGTAGCTGGAACTACAGGCATGAGCCACCATGCCTGGCTAATTTTTGATTTATTGTAAAGATGAGGTCTCACCAAATTGCCCAGGCTGGTCTTGAACCCACGGGCTCGGTCAATCTACTTGCCTTGGCCTCCCAAAGTGCTGGGATTACAGACATGAGCCACCACGCCCAGCCTAAAGATATAAGTTTAAGAAATTCTCTGTCAGGCATGGTGGCTCATGCCTGTAATCTCAGCACTTAGGAAGGTGGAGGTAAGAGGATTGCCTGAGCCCAGGGATTCAAGACACATGCCTGTAATCCCAGCACTTTGGGAGGTTTAGGTAGGACGATTGCTTGAACCTAGGAGTTCAAGACCTGTCTAGGCAACATAGTGAGACATCGTCTTTACAAAAAAAAATTTTTTTTTTTTTTGAGTTGGAGTCTCACTCTGTCACCCAGTCTGGAGTGCAGTGGCCGCTCCTGGTCACTACAGACTCGACCTGCTAGGCTCTGGTGATCCTTCCGCTTCAGCCTTCCGAGTAACCAGAATTACAGGCATGCGCTACCATGCCTGGCTAATTTTTGATTTATTGTAGAGATGAGGTCTCACCAAGTTGTCCAGACGGGTCTCAAACCCGCGGGATCAGGCAGTTCACTCACTTCAGCCTCCCAAAGTGCTGGGATTACAGGCTAAGCCACCGAGCCTGGCAAAAAATTTTTTTAAAAAGTAGGTGGGCATGGTGGTACATGCTTGTAGTCCCAGCTACTTGGGAGGCTGAGGCAGAAGGATCACCTGAGTCTAGGAGTCTGAGGTTGCAATGAGCCATGATCATGCCACTGCACTCCAGCCTGAGTAACAGAGTGTGATTCTGACTCAAATAAAAAATTCTTTTATTTTCATTTTACCAGTCTCTTTGTGTTCAATCCATTATGTTTCGTTAGAAGACACTTGAAGGAATTTTATTAAATGAAAAAAGCAAGGTGCAGTGTGTATCATATGTTCCCACCTGTGTAGAAATGAAAGGAGGAAAGTGGAACATACATATGTATAGTGTGTGTGTGTGTGTGTGTGTGTGTGGAGAGAGAGAGAGAAACTGAGACACAGAAACAGACAGTGGTCATGCTGGTAAGAAGTTGGAGGCTGAGGTGGGCAGGATACCTTTTCAGTGCTTACTCTTTCGTACTTTTAAGAGTTTGAACTGTTACCCAGGTGTGGTAGCTCATGCCAATAATTCTAGCATTTTGGGAGGTGGAGGCAAGGGGATGCCTGAGCTCAGGGGTTCGAGACCAGCCTGAGCAACATGGCAAGACCTCGTCTCTACAGTAAATCAAAAAATCAGCCAGGCGTGATGACACATGCCTGTGGTTCCAACTACTTGGAAGGCTGAGACAGAAGGGCCACCTGAGCCCAGCAGGTCGAGGCTGCGGTGGCTGTGAGTGTGCCACTGCACTCCAGCTGGATGACAGAGTAAGACTCCAACTCAGAAAAAAAAAGTGTAAACTGTCAAAATGAGTATTACCTTTTCAGTTTAAAAAGAAGACTAGTTAAGAAAAAGGAATATTAAGTGACCCCTCACATACCCTCGTATTTCTGTTTTTTCTTTTTTTTTTTTGAGTTGGAGTCTCACTCTGTCGCCCAGACTGGAGTGCAGTGTCCGCTCCTGGCCACTGCAGCCTCGACCTGCTGGGCTCCAGCAATCCTTCCGCCTCAGCCTTACAAGTAGCCGGAATTACAGGCATGCGCTACCATGCCCGGCTGATTTTTTGATTGATGGTAAAGATGAGGTCTCGCTGCCCAGGCGGGACTCGAACCCACGGGCTCAGGCAATCCACTCACCTCAGCCTCCCAGAGGTGTGGGATTACAGGCTGAGCCACCGAGCCCGCCCGTATTTCTGTTTTTTCAAACTTAAGCTCTTCTGATACCCAGGTGGCCACATGCACTGCTAGTGTGGAGGGAGGAAGAGGAGAGGGGCGTGTTGGGTGGGGGGACAGGATGGTGAAGAAACTGATAGTGCTGCTGCTCTCCCTGGGCCTGGGTCCTCTCTGAAATATGCCCAAGATGCCAGGCCTCCAGGGAGAGCTGCCCAGAAGACAAAGATATCACTGCTTCCTTGCTCTCCGGCCCAGAGTGCTGCCAGCTTCTGGACCAAGTGCCCATTCACCTGTGCAGCTGTGCTACACGGAAGCAGGAGGCAGGCACACCTGACTCCATGAAGACTAGGGATAGTTGGAAGGAAGGTCTACATTGTTCCATGAAAATATACTTAAAAGAAAATGTCTTTATTTTACAGATGAAGCATGTTAAAGACAAGTAAAAAGAAGAAAATCACAATCACTTGTAATCCGCCACCAAAAGAGATCCACTCTTTTGGTAATATATCTTTCCAGAATTCTGGAAGTGAAATCAAACAGACCATGACCATTTGATAACTTCTTTCATCAAGTATATTTGGGACATCTTTAAATGTATTTCTGTAGCATCGTTTGAAATGACTGTGTAGTGTCTGTTGTACAGATGCACCATGGTTGACACAACCAGTCCTCTGCTATTGAACTTCTAAGTTGTTTATATTATTTCACTGTTATAAATGGGAATTCAGTAAACATTCTTGTGGTATGATCTTTGGACACGTTCTGACTTATTTTGTAGGATGAATGGCTAGAAATCACCCTGTACTATTAGGCCAACGATTATACGTACTTTTATGATGAGAAAATATACTCAATGTATATTCTTACCCCAAATAATAATAATAACTGTAATAATGAAAGATGAATAATTTGAATAATTATATAAGAAATTATAATTTTTGAAAATAAAGTTTAGCTTTGGACAGTATTAAGTTTCATTATAGACACTTTTGGAAAATAGAGAAAAACGAAAAACGAAAACCATTACCAATAGACCCATACTCAAAAATCACCCAAATTGGCAAGTATTTTTTAGTTTTATTTTAATGTGATGGTTATCATACTCTACAGATGATTTTTTTTTTTTTTTTTGAGTCAGAGACTCATTCTGTCACCCAGGCTGGAGTACAGTGGCACACTCATGGCCACCATAGCCTCAACCTGCTGGGCTCAGGCGATCCTTCCACCTCAGCCTTCTGAGTAGCTAGAACCACAGGTGCATGCCACCACGTCCAGCTAATTTTTTGATTTATTGTCGAGATGAGGTCTTGCCATGTTGCTCAGGCTGGTCTCGAACTCCCGAGCTCAGGCAATCCTCTCGCCTCCGCTTCCCAAGTGCTGGGATTACAGGCATGAGCCACCATGCCGGGCTTACAAATGATTTCCAAAGAGTAATAATTTGAAGTACTATGTTTCTCACAGAAGTAGACTGTTTCTAAGTTTCTGGGGTTTTAACATTTTTTTCATTATTTGTTTAGAGACGGTATCTTGCTCTGTTGCCCAGGCTAGAGCACAGTGGTGCAATCATAGTTCACTGCAACCTCAAATTCCTGGGCTCAATCAGTTCTCACACCTTGACCTCTTGAATACCTGGGATATAGGTGTGTATCACCGTGCCCAGCTAATCTTTTTTTTTTTGCTGTGTTGTCCAGGCGGGTCTCAAACTCCTGGCCTCAAGCAGTTCTCTCGCTTCAGCCTCAGCCTCCTGGGATTACAGGCATGAGCCAGTGTACCCGTGTTTTTGTTTGTTTTTTAGGAAAAGACCTCTCCAAAAGTGGATGAGTTGGCACCTTTCCATGAATAGCTGTGACAACTTACTCCTTATTCTGTGTGACCACCTCTGCTACCTTGGCCAGCCCTGCACGCATGCACATCAGCTCCCTGACCACTCCATTTGCTTCTCTCCATCTCCTCTCAGGTGTCAGAACTGGGAAGGCGGCATTGGTGGGGTCCCAGGGATGGAGGCCCATGGCGGCTACACTTTCTGTGGCCTGGCCGCGCTGGTGATCCTCAAGAGAGAGCGTTCCTTGAACCTGAAGAGCTTGTTAGTAAGTGTCAGTCGCGCCGTCTTCCTGTGGCCCCAGGTCACGGTGCTGTGGCTGTGGGGACACGCAGGCTTTGAGGGGAGTCTGACTGTGGGTGGAGTGAGCAGAGTTCCAGCTTGAGCTCACAAGCTGTAGGGCCTGGGATGAAGCTTTGGTTGGGGTTGGCGGAGCCCTTGGCACTGTTCTGAGACAGCAGCAGGCGTGGATGGGCTGCTCTCGGTCCCCGTGCCCTTCCTCCTGCCTTTCTATCTTCCTATTCAGAAGTCTCTACAGAGCGTGCTGGGCCAACTGTAGGTGTCCCTCAGACATCTCATGGGAGCCTTCCTCATACGTCAGCCTCTTAGAACTAGAGGTTACTGTGTGTGCTAGAAAGACTCTCCTGGCCAGGCATGATGGCTCATGCGTGTAATCCCAACACTCTTGGAGGCCGAGGCAAGAGGATCACTTGAGCCCAGAGTTGGACCCCAGCCTGGGCAACATAGTGAGACCTCGTCTCTACAAGAAATCAAAAAATGAGCCAGGTGTGGTGGCATACTCATGGTAGTCCTATCTACTTGGGAGGCTGAGGTGGGAGGATGGCCTGAGTCCAGAAGGTCCAGGCTGCATGGGCAACAGTGAGACCCTGACTCAAAACAAAAAAAAGAAAGACTCTCCTTAGAGGAAAAGTTATGACAAGAACTTTGAAGCATTTCGAAGCCAAGATTTTGTGACCTGATGCACTGTGTGAACGTGTAGTGTGTACATTTAGATGGGTTCTCTAGGCAGAGCTGGGTGACTGCATTGAGAAGGATGCTCAGGCATTCATGCTTGGACCCCAAGTCCCTGGCCAGGATTCAGGATGAACTCAGAAGGCAGTGAGCTTCTGAGAGGTACTAGAGTACAGTTATATGATCACATAGGCCCAGTGCACACACACACAGCTCCATAGCTGCTAGCGAGAAGGTGTTCCCTCTCGCGTCTTTTGGGGAGCATGTACCCTGACTGTGTCCTTAGAGCACGCCAGCTGCAAGTGTCGTGCTGCTCCTCTTCCCAGGCTCAGATTCCAGGCTCCCGTCCTGAGCTTCGGGGGCATTTCTGTTGTGTTCTGTAGAGACCTAACCAGCAAGGTTTTTTGCGCCCCCTCCCGCCCCCAGAAACCTGCCGGAGAACTCTCTTTATTTTTATTTTTATTTTCTTTGAGTTGGAGTCTCACTTTGTTGCCCAGGCTGCAGTGCAGTGGCACGCTCACGCCCACGGCTGCCTCAATCTCCTGGGCTCAGGCGATCCTTCTGCCTCAGCTTTCCAAGTAGCTGGAACTACATGTGTGAGCCACCACACCTGGCTAACTTTTTGATTTATTGTAGAGACGAGGTCTCACCAAGTTGCCCAGGCTGATCTCAGACCCTGGTCTCAGGCAGTCTTCTTGCTTTGACCTCCTAAAATGCTGGGATTACAGGCTTGAGCCACCACGCCTGGCGAGAATTCTCTACTTAAATGTGCTTGAGGTTCATGCCGACACGGCCATCTTTAGGCACTGGACTTCATAGTATCTCAGATGTTTTATTTATTTAATCATTATTATTATTTATTTTTTTAGAGACAGGCTGGTCTCAAACTCCTGGTCTCGAGCAATCCTCCCACCTTAGCCTACCAAAAGGCTGCGATTACAGGAGTGAACCACCATGCCTGGCCTTCAGATATTTCAAAATCTGATTACCAACAAGGGATGGCACAGAAAAGTCCCACCTCCCAGGCAGAAATAAGGACTATAATTAGTGAATGCCTTAGTTATAAAGACAATATTCTAGATTTGAACCCTGTACCCAGTACTTCCTAGACATGGGACCTTGTGCAAATCGTCTAATCTGTTTTAGGTTGATTCCCCCTGCCCCCCATCTTTAAGGTAGGGATAATGATCTTTATTCTTTGAAGGTTAAAAGAGAAAACATAGTCACAGCCTGGCATAGCAGGCACTTAACAAATTTGGTTTCTTAATTTCCTTTGTCCCTCTTACCCAGGCAATTCTCTTTGCTCAATTTGCTTTGCGAAAACTAGAACCCATATTGGAAGGATTTTATGAATTCATATGGCCAAGAGAAACAGGACAAACTCATGGTCTCAGGCACTGGCAAAAATAAATTAGTCTGGCTTAAAAACAGGCTATAGAGTAAGTACAGATGAGTGGGTGTCTGCTGCCGTGATTGCTCTGTCTCCTTAAGTGACGCTCAGTTCACTTCACTAGACAGTGTCATCCCTGGATCTCCAGGTCATTTAGGACCAGCTGAGGATGTGTTACCACCTGAGCCTGCAGGGCAGTATGTTGTCTTTCAGGAATCTGTGGCCGAGGCTCTCTGGGGGTGGGTGCTGCTTGGAACACGGATGTCATCCAAACCACAACTATAGGGGAGGGCGGACCCCCCTTCCGAGAGGCCCAGCAGCTACTTTCAGGAACTCAGCCTAGTAAGAGTCCAGGGACGCGGGCAATGCCCTGCCCTGCACCCTCTCAGTCCATCGAGGCAGTGCTGTGCGTCTGTGACTGGGCCTGCCTGGGAGGTCTGGGAAGGAACACAGACGTGACCCATCTGCTCAGTCAGTTGGCTCTGCTCAGTCCTAAAGGCTGAACCTACAACTGTCTGGATTTTCATAATAGGGTGTGTTTAGAGGACTTGGAGACAGGCAAGGGCGGTGGCGTCATGTGTGACCTCTGAGTGACATCAAATGCTATTTTCCAGCTTCAGAGTAAAAAATTTTCTTCTCTCAGTCATAGACTGGGCAGTTGTCACATGGTAATCAAGGCAAGTGGCTTCTGCTTCCTGTCCTGCCAGGGATGACCTTGGGCAAGTTTCCCTGGTGCCAAGGTAAAGGAAGGTACACTCTGAGATCATCTGATGAGATTCAATACAAACTTCCACTTACCTGCTCCTAGAAGCTTCTGTAAGCTGGAAGTGGTGAGAAGAGAGCCCTTGGGATGCACCTTATGTTGCCACTGAAACTGGGTTTTTTTTCCTTTGAGTTGGAGTCTCACTCTGCCACCTGGGCTAGAGTGCAGTGGCATGCTCATGGCTACTGCAGCCTTGACCTCCTGGGCTCAAGTGATTCTTCTGCCTCAGCCTCCTGAGTAGCTGGGACTATAGGCGTGTACCACCACACCTGGCTAATTTTTTGATTTATTGTAGAGGTAAGATCTTGCCCGATGACCCAGGCTGATCTCGAACCCCCGAGCCCAGGCAGTCCTCTTACCTCAGCATCCCAAAGTGCTAGAATTACAGGCATGAGCCACTGTGCCCAGCTGAAGCCACCTTCATGGTGAGACTTTGCGGGGCTTCCTGCAAATCGAGCTGGCCTCTCTCTTCGCTCAGCCTCGGCACCTCTGGGGGCCCAGGATGAGGTGCCCGTCCTCTGGGCACTGAGAGGTCAACGCTGGCTGCCTTGGAGGGGTTGGGGCAGTGGGGCCGGAGCACCAAGACTCAATGCCAGACGCTGGGGGTGGGAAGTCCTCCCTTCCCCACACTGGCCTCTGCAGGTCCTGGCCTGCTGGGTTTTGTGTTTCAGCCTATGGCCGTCTCTCCCGTCTGTGTCTCCTCAGCAATGGGTGACAGGCCGGCAGATGCGCTTCGAGGGAGGATTCCAGGGCCGCTGCAACAAGCTGGTGGACGGCTGCTACTCCTTCTGGCAGGCAGGGCTCCTGCCGCTGCTGCACCGCGCGCTGCATGCCCAAGGTGAGCATGGGCTGGGGCTGGGGCTGCAGGGCTCCCGGCCGCCAGCAAGCCCGGAAGCCCAGAGTGCTTTTCCGAAGGGTTGGAGGGAGCTTTGTCTACCCTGGGTTAGTTTTTCGAGTTTGTTGTCGTGCTGTTTTGCTTGGTAGAGATGAGAGTCTCACTATGTTGCCCAGGTCAGCCTTGAACTCCTAGGCTCAAAGGATCCTCTCACCTTGGCCTCCCACCTGACTTCTCTCCTGGATTTGGAGCACCCAGTGTGGAACCTTCTGCCTCGGGGCACATGTGTTCAGGATAAGATTTCATTCCCATGTGAGCGTCATTCAATGCTTCTTCAACCTGGCGGAGGCAGAATGAGCTCTCCTAAAACTGCTGTGGGGAGAGGCAGGCACCCATCTGTGTTATCTGGAGGGCGCAGCCCAGTTACATTCTGGGCCCCATGGTGATGGCCATCTCAGTGGGGTGTGAAGCCACAGTTTCCAACACAGAGCTCCGCACTGGTCCTGTGAGGGCTGAAAACTTACCCTATGCACACAGTCACAATAGTGACAGGACGGCAGTGGTCTGAAGGGTCGAGCACCAGAATCCATGGAGAAAAAGCTACCCTGTCTGGCTGGCTGCAAAGCTGTCACTGCTAGAAGTGTCTTGTTTCTTTTTTTTGAGTCAGAGTCTCACTCTGTCGCCCAGGCTGGAGAGCAGTGGCATGCTCACGGCCACCGCAGCCTCGACCTGCTGTCTTCAGGTGGTCCTTCCACCTCAGCCTTCCAAGTAGCTGGGAACTACAGGCACGCACCGCCATGCCAGCTAATTTTTTAATTTATTGTAGAGATGAGGCTGGTCTCGAATCTATGGACTCAGGCAGTCCTCTCACCTTGGCCTCCCAAAGTGCTGGGATTGTAGGCATGAGCCACCAGGCCCAGCCAAAGTGTCTTGGTTCAAATTCTCTGAGCAAGCCTGCTGCAGGTTTGTTCCACTCGCCCACTGGAGAGAGAAGCCCATGTTTGTTTCTGAGGGGTCTCAAGTAGGTTACAGAAGCGAGGTAGTTAGCAGCAAGCATCTGCTCAGGGGACATTCCCTCCCTGTCCCTGGAAACCCCAGGCTGCCTGTGGCTCCTAAGACATCTGTGAGAACAAGGCAGCTCCCAGGAAGTCGGTGGCAGCGGGACGTTGCAGGGCCCTGCCAGCTGCAGGTGTCCTTGGAGGAGGTCCCGTGGCCCGGAAGGGGCTGCTCTCAGGTGTAGTCAGGTAATGAACCACTCATTTGTAAAAGACAGAACCTCTCCTTCTGCCCCCCACACTGTTGCTCCCATTTTAAAAATTTCCTTTGAGTTGCTCCATGGCCGCTTCTGATGTTGCATTAAAGTAAGCAGAGCCCTTGTCCTGTCTTCCCAGCCTGGGGCCCCAGGCTCTGTGTTTCAGGGCGTGAAAGCCTGTACTCCCCTGACCCTGGAGCCTGCTCCATCTCTGCTTGGCCACTGGTCAAGAAGTCAAGAATTCCTTGAGAGCCCAACTTGGGTTTTGGTGATCACTTTATTTGTTGTTGTTTTTGGTTTTGTTTTCTAAGTGGCGGTCTCACTGTCACCCAGGCTGGAGTGCAGTGGCACTATCACGGCTCACTGCCGCCTCGGGCTCCTGGGCTCAGGTGATCCTTCCACCTCAGCCTCCCGAGTAGCTGAAAGTATAGGCATGCGCTACCATGCCTGGCTAATGTTTTCATTTTTTTGTTGAGACAAGGTCTCGTTATGTTGCCCAGGCAGGTCCAAACTCCTGGGCTCAAGTGAGCCTCCCAAAGTGCTGAGACTATAGGCATGAGCCACCACGCATGGCCAGCTCTCTTTATTTGGAACTGGTAAGATCAGGTACCTGGTAAAACTTAAATCTTTTACAAATCTCTCCCTGGCAAGGCTGGGATGCAATTCTGCAGTGCCAGGAAGATCTGGAGAGAGCAAGAAGAGGAGCAGTGCAGCCAGTCTTTCAGGGGCTGCTGGGTGACATTTTGGCTATGGTAGCCCAAGTTCTGGAGGACTTAGTGACATTCAAAGCTTTGCCTGTGGAAAAGGTGGCCCTCAGGTCTGGGTACTTTCGACTTTTTCCATTACCAGGGAGAAGGCTGTGTTGTGTGGGTTTCTCCTCCTCCTCAGACACAGGGGCTTTCTTGGACTTGGGACAGACGAGGGTCTGGAGCAAAGAGTGGTGTGCTGAGTGGTGGGCAGAACACTGACCCTGGGAGTCAAAAGAAGGTGCAGTGTAGACAGATCTTCATAATATACTGTGGACGTATCAAAGCAGTATGTGTGTAATCCCAATTTTAGTGAAGAGTTGACTCCAAAAAATTACTAGAAAGTATTTAGGATGTAAAACTGCAGGTGATGTTTGTTGTCTTTCTTGTTTGTGTTGTCTGATCGTCTACATAATAGCAAAAGTTACTTTTAAAAAGGAGATGGCCAGGCTGGGTGGCTCAGCCTGTAATCCCAGCACTTTGGGAGGCCGGGGCGAGTGGATTGCCTGAGCCTGTGGGTTTGAGACCTGCCTGGGCAACTTGGCGAGACTTCGTCTCTACAATTAAAAAAAAAAAATTAGCCAGGCATGGTAGCACGCGCCTGTAGTTCTGGCTACTTGGAAGGCAGAGGCAGAAGGATCGCTATAACCCAGCAGGTTGACGCTGGGGTAGCCATGAGTGTGCCGCTGCACTCCAGCCTGGGTGACAGAGTGAGACTCCAACTCAAAAACAAACAAATAAACAAACAAACAAAAAAGTTCTGTAGACAAAACAAATAGCAAAATAGGAAAAATATTTATGACAAATGATAAAAGGCTAATTTATTTAATTTGGAAAAAATCCACATAAGTCGGTAAGAAATGGATGAACAATCCAACTGTACAACAAAAGATCTGGACACACAGGTCCTAGAAAGAGAGGTAGTGGAATTCCTTTGTCTACATCCATGGTTCCTACTGCTGACAGCTGAGACTTGCCAAGTGCCCACTGTATGCCAGGGGCTGTGCCAAGTATCTCACATTTATTTTCTCATTAGATCCTCAGAACAAGCTTATGAAAGAAGTATCGTTGTTACCCCATTTCACAGATGAGGAAACCAAGCCCAGTGAGGCTGAGGGACTGGCTTTCTCATACCTGGTTGGCACCACAAGGGTTAGCGTGCAGTTGTGTGACTCTGTGGCAGAGGGCGTCAGAGTCCGTCCTGCTTGTTACTGTGACAGATGGCCCTTCAGCCAGTGAGAAGTTGGCCAGCTCACTTGTGGTTAAAGAAATGCTCATCAAAACACTGCCACTATTTGATTTTATTATCAGATTGGAAAGATTAACAATGTGTTACCCTGTGCTGGAGAGTGTGGGAAATGGCCACTTGTGTACTGTTGGTGGGGATGTGAGCAGGCAAATCATGTTTCAGAAGTCAGCTGGTGACAGCAGTTTACTTATTCATTCATTTTTCATTTCATTTTATTTTACTTTTTTGAATTGGAGTCTTCACTGTGCCGGCTAGTCTGGAGTGCAGTGGCCGCTCCCAACCACCACAGCCTCGACCTGCTGGGCTCAGGCAATCTTTCTACCTCAGCCTTCCAAGTAGCTGGAACTACAGGCATGCGGTACCTCGCCTTGCTAATTTTTTGATTTATTGTAGAGACGAGATCTCACCAAGTTGCCTGGGCTGATCTCGAACCCACAGGCTCAGGCAATCCACTTGCCTCGGCCTCCAAAAGTGCTAGGATTATAGGTTGAGCCACCGAGCCTGGCCGGTGACAGCAGTTTAAATGGAAACGGTGCTTACCCTTTGGGCCCAGCATGTGCACTTTCAGAAATGTCCCGCAGAGGTCTGAGCAAACAATCTATATTGAAGTGGAGTTTTTTTTTGTTGTTGGTTTTTTTTTTTTGTTTGTTTGTTTGAGTTGGCGTCTCACTCTGTCGCCCAGACTGGAGTGCAGTGGCCG